TCCTTATGTTGTTCTGTATTTTTCAACAGTATTTCTCAGCGCCGGCGCTGCTGACCTCGGGCTGGAGAACTCTTCGTTGGGAGGCATTTCCTAAAAACTGTGTGTTAAACTCAGCAGCATTCTGAATGCCATCGGACCACCTACTCCCAGGTTGCGACAACGAAAAAATGAAAACAAAAACTCCCAACAATACCAAAGTCCCCTGGGGAGCAAGATGGCCTTTGTCCCAAAACACTGCTTTAAAGATAGTGCTTCTAACTTGTTGCCATTAAGTTTGATTTTTTTAAAAAATGTAAATACCAATTAAGGTTTCTGGTTACAGTCAACAGAACCTGGCTCAGGCTAAACTAATAACACCAGCAACAGCGGAGTGGTATCCAGTTGCTGGCAGGATCAATGAGAAGTCTGCCAAAGCAGACTCAGAGAGTGGGCATGAGCCAGAACCAAGACAGAACCGGGAGGACAGGGGACATTGCCAGAACAGCGCCGAGGGGTGGGGGCCACCCGCCGGGTGCCTCTGTTCCTGCAGCCTGCGTGAGCCTGAGACCAGATCGCTGCTTTGTGAAAACCACTGTTGATCAGGATCAGAGGCAGAGCGTCCCACTGATGAGGCCTGGGTCCCAGGTAGCTGGGGAGTCAGTCACAGGCTTTGGGGCTTCTAGTTCAAGAGATGCACTGGAACTCAGGTCCTACTGACACTCAGAAACGTGAGCTTCCAAAAATCAGTGGAGGAGACTCAGATGCCAGGCAGCCTTAGAATGTGCACAGAAATGGAGAGGTAAGAAACAAGCAACATCCATGACAACTGTCTCTACCTTTCCGATCCTAATGAGGGTGTTTTGGCACGAAGGGCCTGACGGTTAGTTTGATGTGTCACCTGAGAACTATGCTGGAGTTCCCAGCTAGCAAATCAGTCGCTGACCCCGGCTCGCTGGGGGTATTTGCATAGCTCTGATTAATGTCTACTGTCAATTTACTTTGGGTACCTTAAGCCGATTATCTCCGCAATGCCACAAGCCTCACCCCGTCCACTGAAGGCCTTCGGGGCAGATCTCAGGTTTTTCGAGAAAGAAGAAATCACAATTGCAACATCAGCCTCTCCTGAGCGTCCAGCTTGCCCGCCTGTTCTCCAGCCTCGGCCCAGTGCCAGCTCTCACCATGACGTGAGTCAACTGATTGAAATAAATTGTGTGAAATAAATATTGTTGAGGGTGTGTATGTGTACGCAAACACACACACACACAAGGGTATTTTTAAACATATAATTGAGTAAAAATATGTACTGGTCTGGTTTCTCCGGAGGACCCTGATGGATACAAAGTGTGTCTCATTTTATTGAATTTTTTTTCATATTTAATGAGAGAATTATACATACCTTGCTCTCCTTTGGAGTGAAGATAGCTACTTTCCTTTACTATCTGTCCTCCTTTTTTTTCCAGATGAACAATAATTTCAAGGGACTTACTACATTTAGCCCACTTGTGCCTCTGTACAGAAAACGGCAGATTGGATAATTTAAAGAGGATAGGAATTCATTTCCCACAGTTCCGGAGGCTAAATGTTCAAGGTCAGGGTGCCCACATCTGGTGAGGGCTCTCTTTCTCTGTGATCTCTCACAGTGGGGTGTGGAAGGGAGAGGAGAGAGAGAGAGAGAGAGAGAGAGAGAGAGAGAGAGAGAGAGAGAGGAGACCTCACTAGAGGACGGCACCTTCATCTTGAGCTTCCAGAGTCCACACTGTGAAAACTAAATGTCTGTTCTTGATACACTGCTCAGTCTGTGGTATTCTAGGATGGCAGAGTACAAAAGACAGAAATTGGGACAGAGGAGTGCGGCAGGGCTGGAACAAAACCTGAAAATGTCCAGAGCTCTGGGACCACACGATGGGTGGGGAGCGTGGAAGAGTTTGGGATGACACTGGGAAAAGCCTGTGTCACCGTGGACGGAGCAGTAGGGCAACTCACGGCGCCGGCTCAGAAGAGCCTGAGGGCCCCTTACTCCTCTGAGAGGTTACCACAGGGATTGTGACGGGGAGGACTGTTCCGATGAGGTCCTGTGAAGAGTGATCAACCAGCATGATGAATGCTCACATTTTAAAAATGTGTTACAGTAAAAGACACGTTGCTAGGAATTCCCCTCAATGTCCTCTTTCTCGTTTTGAACACCCTCCTCCCATGTCCTGGCCCCCTCCTGCAAAGGCTCTGGAGCCCTCTTTCCTGAGTCTTTAGCTGCACTGTCCCGGCTGCCTCAGTGGCAGGACTGTGAGGGGAATTAATGGCAGTGCATCTCTTACTGTAATATTTTTTTAAATGCAACATTCGCTGGATATTTCAATCACACCTCATAGACAGAAATAAGGAGCAAAGTGTTGGAAACCTGAAGAAAGGCCATCTTTGCTATACAGTTACACAGAATGCAGTCAAATCATGTCTGGGTGCTAGGACTTTATGAAAGGCAGAAAAGAGCAATGAACTAGGACGGTGGGCAGAGCGATCACTAAGCAGATACAACTGTGGCATGGCTTTGCTTAATCCCACTTCATAGTGTGGTGAGGAGAGAGAAAAAATTTAAAGGTAGAATTTATAGATAAGGGGGAAGCAAGATGTAAAAGATTTGGAAAATATTCATCTTAGCTATGTAAAGAATAAAACAGCTACTTTTAGGAAAGAAAAACAAGGGTGTGGCCCAGGGCCCACTGTTAAGATTAGCGTGGACGTGAAGGAGGCGGGTGAGGACCTGTGGATGGATGAGAGGTGGATGTGTGGATGCTGGATAATGGCTGGCTGGATGGAGGAAGCGCGAAGGGTGACAGCCAGGGGCTGCTCATCAAGGCTCGGTGTCGGGAGAGACCCGGCACTTTGGGATCTCGCGGGCTGCGGGTCAGGGAGGCCCCGGGTCTCTCTTCCTGCAGTTCCAGCCAGCGATGTACTCAGTGGCCCGGCTGTGGCTTGTTGGGCACCATCCATCTCAGGCTAACCCTTCAGGCACACAGAGTGTAAGAACCGTGGACACACGGCATCCTCCGCTTAGGTGTAGGAGGATGGGGGCCAGGGGAAAAACTGCCCTGGGGCAGAATCACTGCGTGGACTGTGAGATTCCCATGGCTGCTGAAGAACGAGTTGTTAGCAGCCGAACACCGACCTCTTCACTGCCCCTCACAAGGCCACCCGCTGTCTGCCAGGCTGGGTAACTTCTGAGTTCAGCCAGGCTGTGGGCCGGTTTGCTCCTAGAAGCTGTGCGTGTGAGGTGCTTGCCGGCTGCCACCTGAGGAGGCCCACGTTCCCTGCTGCACGGCTGCTCCGTGGTTGGGAGAACAAGAGCGCGCTGAACCTTTCTCCGTCCCGGCTCTGAGGAAGTCAATCCCAGCTGGCAGCAGTTAACCACCTTCCCCCATCTCGTTCACGTGCCGTGTAGCATGGCCACAGCCTCAATCTCTCCTCCTCTCAGTCCTGGGGACGAGGGTGGCGGACCCACGTGGGGACCACTCACATTCCACCCGCTACATCTTGTGAAGCCATTCACCTTCTGAGAGTCCGGTCTTGTCTTCGTCTTGTCTTAGTTCAGGCCGCCGTAACAAATGCCATAGGTGGCGGCCTAAACAAGCAGCGTTTTTTCCTCCCAGTTCCAAAGCCCGGAAGTCAGACGGCATGGTCAAGGAAGTCGCCAGTTCAGTTCCTGGTGAGGGCGTTCTTCCCGGTTTGCACCAAATACCTTTTCGGCCCTCTTGCCGCACCCTCACCCAGCAGAGAGAGGTCACCTTGCTCAGGTCCCTTCCTGCGGAAGCCCTGATCACATCCAGGAGGGCTTCACCTTCGAGACCTAACCGCCTCCCAAAGGGCCCCATCTGCTGCCCTGCCTTGGAGCCAGCTGACTATGGACAGAAACCTCCTAAGACTGTGAGCCAGAATAAAACTCTTCTCTTTATTGTTTATTTGTTTTTGGTACCGGGGATTGAACTCGGGTCCTTGCGCTTCCAAGGTAGGCCACCGAACCACTGAGCTAAATCCCTGGCCCTAAAATTCTTCTCTTTAACTTGTGGGTATTTCCCCGCCCGCCCAGCAACAAGAAAGTGACTAAGACAGGCAGAAACTCTGAAACACTGTGAGCTTTTAAACAAACATTTGTTGAATGAATGCGTAGCCATTTCCAGTCAATATGCTACCCGGAAACTGAGTGTATAATTACACCAGGCCTCCCTTAAGGCATATATACCTTTGCTTCTCATTTGAATTCCAGGCATTAATTCAGTGGTGTTGGAAGTTAGAACTCCAGGGTCAATTTCCCACAACAGGACTTGGGCAATATATTTAAACCTCTGAGTGCCTGGGAAGGACAGTTTTATGCTTTGGGTCTTTCCTTACATTTTGCAGAATGAGCAAAGGACACAGAAGGGTGTCGGTTTTTTTTAATGTAAGATCCCAAACGCTATGATTTAATTTAAAACAGATCTAAGTATAGAGAAATTAGTAGAGGGGCTTTTTTCTGGTGTTGTGTCCTGCAGACAAATGAGCTTTGACTCAATTTCCCTGCCTAAATAACAAGGAATTTTTACTAGCCGCTTTCCACCATCTTTCCCTTCCTGATGACCCTGACTTCTTGTCTGAGATGAGAAAACATTAGCCAAAGTGTTGCTGCTAGACGCACTGATACAGTGTGATCTCATTTAGGTGCATGCTACCGACCGTAGGGCAGCAAACACGGGATTTCACGACGAGATACAGGTTCTCTGAAAGGTGGGAGCAGGTTCGGTGATGACAGTCAGACAAAAGCACTCACTTCCTGATGACCCTGACTTCTTGTCTGAGATGAGAAAACATTAGCCAAAGTGTTGCTGCTAGACGCACTGATACAGTGTGATCTCATTTAGGTGCATGCTACCGACCGTAGGGCAGCAAACACGGGATTTCACGACGAGATACAGGTTCTCTGAAAGGTGGGAGCAGGTTCGGTGATGACAGTCAGACAAAAGCACTCAACACACCGGTGTGAAAGTCAGGGGCAATGAGCTGATCTCTCTAGGCATCTATTTCCGCTTGCTGAGTTGGCGCCTGCCAAATACATCATTATAGAATACATTGTGAAAAGTTAGCAGGAGTTTAAGCTTTCTTTCCATCTTAGCTGATAATATGCCAGTGGCCATTTTTTCCCCAATGAATCATTGTTTCTCAGATGTTTGACAATATGTGGTAATTCTGATGAAGTATCAGTAACGTCTGTAACATTACATGCTATTTTCCTGAGAACTATTTCCTTAAAAGAAATATTCCCCTCAAATGCACCTTCTGTTCAGTTATTATTTGACTGAGAAGGCTGTGTCCAAACAGTGACATTCTTATCCTCCATATCTTTGGGTACATCTAATCCTTCTCCTTCTTGAAAACCACTAGGCATTTTCAAAAAACACAAACACACAGAGATCAATAGAAAATAAATCAAAATTGTAACAGAACCCATTGTCCCCAAGCTGCAGGCGAAGAAACCAACGATTCCTTCTTTGGCTGACTTTTAATGTGGTGCATGCCAAGGACCTCCAGGAGGCTTGACCCCGAGGGGACAATACCTCAGATCCGGTTTCTGCCAGGTGGTCGGCATTGTCACACAGATTCCACTGGAGTGGTCGCGGCAGGTGCAGCTGGTTCTCATCACTGAAAGGAATCTGTTGAGTTCCAATCTCGGTCTGTACAGACAAGGGACTAGGCTCCCAAAGGCTGCAGAGCACACCAGCATTCAGGTAAGGAGAGAACAGCAAGGAGCATCTGTATTTGTTGAACGAGGTCTGGGAGTGGCCTCCCGGTTGGCCTTGGTGCCAGGCAAAAAGAATGTTCTGTCGTGGGTTGTTGAAATTGGCATGAAGGCTACACATGCAAAATACAACAACCTAGAACTGTAAAGACAGCCAAGGGTGTGTATCCCTGTGATTTCCCACCTAAATGATACCTTTCTGTTAGTTCCTTATAGGTCTGCTTCACAGAACAGAAGAACCAAATGATTTCATGACCACACTAGTTTCTTTGTTCATTCCCTGTTCTGAATAACTGGAGGGAATCATCAGGCCAATGTGAAGGCAAGGGTGATGTCACTGGTTATTTCCTTTGGGGTCTTAATAGTCCAAGTGACGTCACTATGTCTGTCATAAAGTATGAATAAATGTAGCCATAATTCAGACAGGAATTAAATGAACTAGTGTCCATAATCAATTACTAATGCATAGTAAAGTTATTTTTAGCTGGCTATTTAAGATTTTCAGGACTAATGAACTTATGGGAAGAGAAATTAGACAGTAACTTAAGAAGTAGGTTTGAAGAAGAATGTTCTAGAATCTTCTCTCAAAGATATATGCACACCACATCCGTCTTACGACCATGATTTATTGGTTCTGTCTTCAGAGCTTTGCCCAACCATCTCTTGTGAGCTTGTATTGGTCTGAGTAGCACTCTTCTTCCTCCCCTCTGTAGCACTGACTGATCTGGGGTGTGGACCTGTGACACAGCAGACTGAACCACAAAGCTGGTAAGGAAATTCTCTCCTTCCGTAGGCTGGGCGCCTGGGGCCTTGGTCTCCCTCACTTGGATTCTGGATTCCACAGGAGACAATGAGGTTGCTTGCACCCAAAATCTCAGGGTGCATCCTTGGGGTCTCCTCTACATCTTAGCTTTCCCTTTGGCCCATGAGGTCCCCAGGCACCTGCCAACTCGATGAGCCAATAAACTGCCTCTTTGATTCCAGACAGTTAGTTTCTTTCACTTACCATTAAAACTATCCTAGCCAAAGGATATTTTTTCAAAGTCTGTTATTTATATGAAGAGTCTACTTTGCATCCTTGTAGACTAATAATATCTGAACAGTGTTTACCATATTGAGGTAGCACCCAGGATGGGTCAGCGCAACATGGTAAGAGAAGAGATTTTCAATGGCTTTGTTAGAAAAATTTAAATCCTGGAGACCCTATGCCAGCACCCCCAAATTTAAGGTGTCTCTGAGATGGGCTATATTCCCATATGGTTTATCAAACCCCTTTCCCTCCTATCTGTCCTCATGAAGGAGGGGAAGGATGGTCTTGACTTGTCTTTGAAGCAGCTATGACTTCTTGGCCTAGGGCAAAGATAAACGAACTCAAGCTCAAGACCCAAGGCCATGTCACAATCATCAGAAGGTGCTGAGACTGAGCCCGGCCGCACCCTCTCATTCATCCTGCCAAGACCCTGGAGCCTACTGCCCTTCCTCCTCCCCCCACCTCTCCTGGTTGGAACCACCCAAAAGCCCCACCATTTATTCCTGGCCAGTGGAGTCCTAGGCCCATCCCTCAGCCCATAAAATCCAGTACTCTCCATCTCTGTTCTTTCAACTTGGATCATAAAACTGGACACTGCTTAGCAACACTGCTGTCTGTACTTTGGAGGTGTGGACAAGAGGCACAATGAAGAGAATTTACAGCCTCTGGGGAGAAAGGATGGATGGGTAAAAGCACATTGCAATGTGAGAATGAAGGAGTGACAGGAAGAAAATGGAGGACAACGAAGGATTGCTTGAGGCAGGAAAGGCTACACAGAGATGACTCTTATGACTGAGTTGTGTTCCCCAGAATTCCTATGCTAAGCCCTAACCCCCCCCAGTGCCTCAGAACGTGACTGTGTTTTGAGATGGAACCTTAATGGCAGTGACTAAGGTTGATCAAGGTACTGTGGATGGGCCAACGACCTCATAAGGAGAGGGAGTGTGAGAGAATGTTCTAGAAGGGGGGAAGGTTAGGGCTGTAGGGGAAGAGAAGAGATGACGGTGGGAACAGAGTCCATCTCTTCAAGGGGGGGAGAGGAGTCAGGCAGGCATAGAGGACCAGCCTTTTAGGGGACCAGAGACAGTCCCCACTTTGTCACAGGAGGGTCAGTGAGACAAAGAGTTCCAGGTCTGCAGTACCACAAGAATTGTGACAAATACACATGAAAGCCAGAAATAATGCTAATGATCTGCTTCAGCCATTTTATTTCCATCGAAATGACACTTTGAAACATCAAGGATCCAATCAGTACCTCAAAGATGAGTTACTATCCAAGACACCAAAGGTCCAATCATATCAAACTTATAATTCGTGATTTCTTAAACAATGATAGAAAAATATACCTGAGAGAACAACATTCCAAAAGATGCCCGCTTCATAATGCCCTTGACTTACAATTCCCAACAGGAGACCTCACCTTTCCCTGCCCGCCTAGAACCAGCCCCATAAAGACTTTCCAAACTGTAAAGTGCTACTGAATTGCTTCCCAGCCCAAGAGAAACCAAAGTCCTTATGGCTTACAGAGATCATCACACTAAGGTTGTTCACTGTAGCTTTAAACATATCAAATCAGAGGTTAATTAAAAAAATATTTTTCCAAACGCAAAATAAATATAGAAAAGATCAATGCGAACATTAAAATGTCCATTTTCAACTGCACACTGCTGACTTTCTGGGAAGAGCGCAAGTTTATCTTATGTATTTACAACTCAGAGCTACCTGAGTCAAGCACATGATTCTATGTTAACGTGTTCATTGAAGATACATACTATATTTAACAAATCATAAATAAATACAAATACATGCTCCTGCATGTGATACATGAGACTCTAGAAGAAGATCCCCTTAACATACAAGGAAATGACGGCTTAAGTATCATTCAGTGACATACAAATGCTTTTTCATTTCTTATCTTTTAGGAAAGGCAAACTCTGACAAAGAAGTCTCTGTGGGTGCTCAGTAACTTCCAGTCGTGTTGGGTATTTATGACATCTTATTTGTCCAAGTAAAAGAGATCCACCCAGCTAATTTTTTTTTTTTTTTTTTTTTTTTTATTTGCAAAGCAGAAGGTAACCGTGGATATCACCGCTTCCTTGCTTTACCTCTTCTGGGGACTGAAGGATGCGACCTCAGCCCGCCAGCCTTGTGTTTATGTCCCCAGCTAGGTGAACGCCACCCACAATTCACACATAGGGGGCACTGACCTCAAGGGAGGTAGGAGAGAGGATGGCGCGAACAGCACGGCAGGATACAGCTCAGTGTAGACGCTTAGGGTTCCATGCCAAGCGCCGAAAAACAAACACAGAAATGAAACAAGCCAGGTGTGATGGCAGTGGCTAAAATGCCATTCTGCTATGACAAGAGGTGGAAATTCACCTCTAAAAGAAAAATACTTCCGGACGGGAGACACAGAGAAAATGTAAACCTCATCTCATCTATTTTCAGCAGGATGCATGGCGGCTGTCGTATGAAATCAGGCTGGAGAATAATTGAGTCCATCACAGAGCCAGGGGCTCTCCACGTGGGGCGCTCGGGGCAGGCACCACAGCCTGGCTGTTTCCTTTCAAACACGGAGGGAAGGACCGCAACACCCAGCTTCTGCTTGTGAAAAACACACACCTGCTCAACAGATGCTGGGATTCGCTTTATTTCACCCTTTCTAACCCTCTGCCTGAAGGCAAGCTTGGAGCACGGGGAAATCTCAGAGCGCCGCGGCTGTGGCCCACTCCCTGGCCCATAGTCAGTGCGGGACTGCTTGAGCAAAGGCGAGGGCAAGGGAGACCTCGCAAACACCACGCTCGCACCCCGAGAGCTGAGAAACTGGGAACACCTGTTCTTCATCATCCCCAGGAGATAAACGAGCCGGTTCCTTGTCAAAGACCCCCAGATCTGTTGCACACACGCACGCACACACACACACACACACACACACACACTTGCAGTCACTTAGTTTCCCAGTGTTGGGCCCAGGGCTCTGCTCCGTGAGGTTTTAGGGAAGCGGGGAGGGAAGCCGGCTGACCGGAAAGGGCTGAGGTTCGCCCATAGTTTAGGAAACCTGGGTGACCTCAGCACAGGGCTGGACAGGGAGCGCCCCAGGTAAACAGGGGTTTCTGAGGAATGCCACGAAAGACCCGGGGCACATCTTAGCACCTCAAAGAGGGCTGGGAAGGAGCAGAGGCAGTCATGGAAACACTCACAAAAGAGGGGCAGCAGCTAAGGGACGAGCCGACACAGCCTTTGGATGGGAGTCCTGAGCTCCAGCGAAGGGATCGACCGTCAGCCTGAGCCTCCCTGTGCCAGTCCATCGAGGCCCTGCACAGATCTGCCCAGAGAGTGGATGAACAGGAATGAGTGGCCTGCAGGGGCTTCCAACACCCGGCGCTGGTCCTGTGCGTGCCACATACAGAAGGCCTGGCCAAGTCCTCTACTGCTCTGAGCCTTGGTTGTCTCATCAAAGGCAGGGCTGGCTGGTTTGGTCCTCAGTGCTGCACACACCCCAGGATTTCCCCTGCCACGTTCAGATCATCGCATCCCCCAACCAGCAGAGCCCAGAGCACGGTGCCCTGTGCTGTGCAGCGTATCCTGGGCAGGAGAATTTCTCCAAGAGCCCCAGGGATGGTGCGGAGGAGGAAAGGGGGGCTGGAGTGGGGCTCAGTGGCAGAACACACGCTCGGCATGCATACGGACCTGGGGGGCCCAGCTTTCATCCCCAGCACCGCAAAGAGAGGGAGCTGAAGGAAGGAGAGGAACCAGAGATGACACGAAGCCCTCAAGAGGTCCATGGACCTCAGTCACCGCTTCTGCACCCAGAGGTGGTGCTGTGCGCACCATCGTACCGCCACTGAAACACAGCCCACGCCGGACCAGAACCACGAGCGCCTCCCTTAACTGCACCTACTATGGGACACTGAGCAGTTCCTATTGTCTCATTTAACCCACACAGGAACCCCGGGAGGTGGGAACGCCCATTGTCCCATTTTTCAGAAGAGAAAACGAAGATAAAGCAAAGACAAAGAAGTTGTCCCTCAGTGGAGTGAGGGGCTGAAATTCAAATCCAGGCACCAGACCTTGACACCCACATAGGTTCTGTCCCAGTAACGTGGCCTGGGGTGAGGTTCACGCAACCTCACACTGGACCACTAGATTCTGAAGACCAGGAAGCCGGGTGTTCAGGCCACCTGGGCCCTTCCCACATCTCCCTCACTCACCCCTAAGAGCAGAAGGGGAATTCACTGCCTCAACCCAGCACCTGAGGGGAACATGGCACGAGGGGAAGTGACTACAACTTGCATTCCCATGACACCCGTGTCACGCCTGGCATGCTGTCTCTTCAGACTTTCTCCCTCAAAACCGTTACACTGGAAGCCACACAACTTTTCCCCACCAATCAAGAATATTCAGGGCAGTAACCAGGCAAGCCCATCACTGCCAGGCCACGCTGTAGGTTGCCACATCAAAACAGAAGCTTGGGCATCGGCCTGTGCCCCATTCTGACGGAGGAACTTAGGTAAATAATCTAAAAACCCACAAAATGTTGTTAGGAAAACGTATAATGACTTCTGCCTTCTCGAGCAGCAATCTGCTCTGTTTGGTTCAAAATTAACAGACACTGGAAGCACTGACCGTGAAATGGGACATCCGGCCTCATTCCTGACAGTGAACACCCGCTTCCTGGGTGCTAGAGCAGATGCCTACACGAATATCAAGGTAAACAGCACAACTGCAAGGAACTGCTACGTCTTGGTTAAAGTGAACTCTCCTGTGACCGTGATGCGAACTGAGGAAATGAAATGTAACCACCCGAATGAGATCAAGCTGAAAACCCCTATAAAAGGAGCTGCAGCCCAGTACAAGGCTGATCACCGGCACTGCCTTTTTTGAGTGCGATCGACCTTTGCCCGCAAAGTAAACTTTTTAATTTTACTTCCACTCAGCTCGTCTCTACGTGCGCATCACTTGCCAATTCCTTCCGCAGCAATTCCAGGCCCAGGGGTGCTGACAACGCGAGGGGAGGTCTCTTAGGTAACTCCCGCTCTGCACACAAACTTCCGAGGTGGAAGGTGTGGCTGCTCTGAGTGAGGGGCAGAACCTGAGGTCCACAGAGAGTGAGAGCCCCAGTTCCAGAGCCAGCAAGCCGCATGGCCAGGTTCAAAGCTGGAGGAGACACCTGAGATGTGCCACAGGGCTGAAGAGACCAGGTCTCCCTAACGACTCGCCTGGCCTAGGAAGCGGTCTCCTCTCCCCACACTGATTTCCTGTGGGCTGCTGTGCATCTTCCGGACATCCCTGTGTTGGGACTGAAATCCCTGAAGTCACGTGCCGGTGGCATTTGGAGTTGAAACTCTGGTAGATGAGTCGGGTTAGGCAGGGTACTGGTTTGTTTTTTGTGTTTTGGTCCCAGGGATTGAACTCAGGTCCTTGCACTTGCAAGGCAGGCCACCGAACCGCTGAGCTAAATCCCCGGCCCTAGGCAGGGTACTGCTACTAGTGGTTTTATGAGAAAAGCAAGAGAAGCCAGGAGTGGTGTGTACCTGTGACCCTCTGAGAGGCTGAGGAGGGAGGACAGGAAGTCGGAGTCCAGCCTGTGCAGTTTGGGGACTTAATAAGACTCTGTCTCAAATTTTAAAAACTTAAAAAGGCCAGGGTTGCCTTGAGAACTATGAGCCAAGTGAACTTCTACTCCTTAGAAATTACTTAGTCTACTGTGCTTGGTTATAATGACAGACAGCCCACAAAGACAGGCTTCCCTCGCGGGTGCACAGCAGCCTGGTGTCCACACCTGTTTCTTCTGGCTCCGGTCACTGGGGGTCTGCAGCACTGCAAGGACTGCATCTGCCTGGTCCCTGCAAGGGGCAGAGAAGCCAGCTGTGCCTCCCAGAGAGCAGACTGAATCCACACTCTGATCTGAGTCCGCTAGGGCTGCCACATGCCAAGTGTGTGCACGTGTGTGTGTAAAGCACACCCAGGGACCCTTCCACCTACTTTGCTAGTTCAAGTTTAAAGCCGGGAAAAAGTGCAACACATTACTTTGAAAACCAATGTAAACGTGTGCATAATTTTTCTGCACAAAAATAACTACCCTCGAAGGAATCAGAAATTGGCATGAAAATTAATTAATTTTGCTTAAAAACCCATTTCAGCTCTGTGCCAGCCCTTTGGAATAGCTGTAGCAGTGCGGGGTGCCCGGCGGAGTCAGGCATCGCCAGGCAGGTTGGACAGCATGGCCACAGAGAACTCTGCAAGCCGAGGTTATGAAATAGGCCAGGACATCAGGAACTGTTACGCTCCTGCAGTCTGTAGGGAGGTGGCCTCCAAGCTTGCTGATCCCAGACCAGGATGCGCCATTCCAGGGACAGGGCACCTGGGGACAAGCCACTCAGCTTCTCTGGGTATCTTATTTCCCAACCTGACTTCCTTTTAAAACAATCATCTGGAGGTAAAGTGGAGGACAGAAGTGACAGCCCCAAGGGCCTGAGTCAGGCTGAACCAAGGTGGTGGTCTGGACAGAGGTAACCAGGGTGGACATGGGGAGAAGAGGCCAAACCCACAGGAACCGGTCACAAGGCTGGCCTTGGCGCGCAGACCTTAAGGGACAGAGATGGAGGCGTTTCCTGAGCTCTGGGCCTGGGGGAAGCTGGGTTCGAGGGAGGAAGGTCTGGAGTTTGGCTTCAGACTGTGGGTCCATGTGCCTGTGGGTGCTGGGAGGAGAGATTGGCCTGGCCGTGGGACTGAGGCCTAGGGCTTAGGGAGATGGGAGCTCAGGGCTACTGCTGGAACTGCGGTGAGGAGACAGGACGTGAGCGAGGGAGGCAGCTGCTGTGACTGCAGGGCGGATGTGACTGAAGGCGCCAGCGTCCTGCCCTGAGGTGGCTCCACAGAAGGCTGGAGGGGCTGAGCTGTGACACAGCGAGGCTGCAGGTATGGGTGGCCAGGGTTAACCCGAAGTTCAGAGTGGGATCTGCTCATCCAGCGAAACCAAGCAGCCAGTGGGACAAGGGAGACTGGGGAGCCAGAGGACATTCTCTCTGGAGACCAACGGGCATCAGGAACGTAAGGAGGACATGAGGGCCAGGGCACAGGATGAGGCCTCGAGGACAGACGTGGAGCCCGGGGCGGAGCCGGGGGACGCCGGGCCCACACGATCATGGCAGAGGGGGTAGCTAAGAGCACGTGGGGTCCTAGAGCTGGGGTGAGCAAGGATGGGGGCAGCATTGCCGTGAGGACCGAGAACCGCCCAGGGTACCAGCAGCTTGGGGAGTTGGGTCCCTGAACAGGGTGCTGCTCACGGGCCAGACAGGCTTCACCATAAGGGGTGAGACGGGGCCAGGCAGAGGGGAGGGGCCCACGAGTGAGAACCGCGCAGGGGTTCTGACCACAAGGTGGTGAGAGGAGCTGGCAGTGGAGTCCGAAACCCCAAGGGGCTTCTCTGCGGAGCCTGGGTGTGATGCCACGGCTTGGGAACGTGGAGAAAGCGCCCCAAAAGTGCAGCTGGAGCAGCTGGTGACGCGAGCCCCACAGGCCCGGGGAGGCCCAGCAGCATGCGGCGCACCCCACTGCTGCTTCCTTCATTTCCAGAACCTAGGTGCTCCGCCCGGGCCTGTGCCTCAGTTTCCTCAGCTGGACACCAGGGGTGTTGGGGCGGCGGCGGGAGCATCGCAGGGAGGCAGAGCACAGAAAGTTCTTCGGCTCCGCGCCAGAGGAAGACAGCACCAGCTTCCAGCGGCAGCTTTCCCAGGGTGCGGAGCAGGACCGCTCTGCAATGCTCCGGACACGCACAAACCTGCCAGTTTTCACACAGGCTTGCTAAACAGGCTCATGAAAACCTCCAGGGAGACAAAAAATGCAAAGCTGAACTCCAGACCAGGGCACCCTGTGGTTCCTTGGCCACAGGACAAGCTCAGCACACGAGCTGGGCTCAGGCTTGGGACCGAGGCACAGGGAGCCAGCCCTGGACCTGGGCCCGTGGGCGCTTTATGCCCAAGGGGTCCCTGAGAGGGGCTCGACTAAGATCCAAGGGAACCCAGCAAAGCCCCGGAAGCCTGGGCAGACAGTCTGAGCTCGGAGACTCAAAGCGCTGTCGTCCTGTCAGTGCAAGAGGAGGACACTCACTGGCTGCCGTGGTGCTCATGGGGAAGTCAGCGGTGTGGTCAGGGCGATTGCAGGCAAGCGGGTCTCCGGAGACGTGCTTCGGAGTCCTTCACGAACGGGGACTCGGTGCCCCGCTGTGGGGCCTCAGTTCAGGGAGCGGTGGGTCCCAGGCTCGGCACTAAAAAGCCTCAGGGTGGGAGCGGGGCTCGGGGGACTCTGAAAAGGGGCTGGGAGGCCAGCTGCAGACGAGTGACCGGGATTCTTCAGATGCTTTTCCTTATCTGAAAAGGGGAATGGCAGCATCCAGAGCTTCATGTAGACACACGCCCGGAAGTCGGCAGATGCACCTGTGTCAAGCGCACAGCACCTCGCGTGGGTGCTGAGAGATGGGATCCCAGCGCAGGGGCGCAGGTGAGGAGCCACGCTGGCTGCATCTAAGCTCATTGGTTCACCGTGCGCGGCTCTGGAGCGCCCTCGCCGTCCTGCACCCTCCCTACCCCGCACGGCCATCCAGATCGACCCCAGACTAGACACCTGGGCAGCCTTTATTCTCCGAAGCCTCCAGCACCTGCCAGTAGGCCAGCAGCTCCTGGGGCTTGACAAAGTGGCAGGCCACCACCTTCTTAAAGCGGCAGATGGAAAAGCGCAGCCCCTCGGGGAAGAAGGTCTGCTGGGAGTGCAGCTCCTCTGGCTGGATCCCCAGCTTGGCCAGGCAGAGCCCCACAAACACGTCTTCCAGCTTGATGAACGGGACGCTCTCGGAGACATTGTACACCTGGCTCGCCACGTCGCTGGAGAAGACGTAGGCGGTCCCGGAGCAGAACGGCGGGTACTTGCTCCACGGGTATTCAGACAGGCTCACATACCACTTACTGAACTTGTTCCTGATCGGAAACTCTTTCAGCTTTAAGTAGCCCGTGAAGAACCTCTCCGTTCTGTTTTTCTTCAGTAGGAGTTCGGTCAGGTACTGTACATTTATAAACATATCCGTGTCCGTTTTCATCACAAAAGCTGCCTGAGGACAGTAGCGGTGGACCCATTCTATGCCCATCATGGTCTTCAGGGTCAGGTTGAAGTAGACATCCTTGAAGTCCTTCTGAATGATGTCCCCATGCTGCTGGCTCTCCTGGGCCACCACTGTCATCTCGTCCTCACTGGCCGTGATCCCCAAGAGGAAGAAGGTTCTCACCAGCTGTCCTCTCACTACCTGCTCTTGGCCCCACGTCTCCCGGATGGCCTTGCGAGCTGCCACCTGCTTATGGGAGGACGTCACCAGCAGGACGAGGAAGGGGGGATTCTGCCTGCAGTCGATGTCCGGGAGCTGAAGGAACTGCCCATAGTTTTTCTTAAAAATAAATATCCCTTGTTCAAAAGGATCCATGCTGAAGTACAGACAGAGCACCCCAATCCCCAGCAGGCAGGCATACATGAACTTCATCTTCCAGGAAGCCATCTGAAAGGAACAAGACCAGAGGATCAGCTCTCAAAAGCAAGGTCCTGGCTGGGGGCTAGTGCGCACCAAGTCAGTGAGTGAAGAGGAATAAGCCCTGAGGTTCTACAGTACAGCAGGACATTGTGATCTGCAGCAATTCTCATGCATTTTGTAAAGAGCGAGAGGAGTTTAAAGGCTCCCACTGCCAAGAAGGGATCAGTGATTAAGGAGATAGAAAGGCTAGTTTCCCCCACAGGAAGTCACACACTGCACATGTAGCAAAGTTAGCTTACTGTACCCCATGAGACGTATGCTTAAAAAATAAAGCCATTGTTTTAAAGCATGTCTGCAGAAGGTGGCTGAGATGTGGACAAGACTGATGTGTAGAAGTTTGGCCTCTCACTGACTGCAGAAGTAAAGGGCAGTGGCTGAGCTTGGGGGGCCACCTTGGCCCCTGGTGTCCAACGGGGAGCACCGGGGTCTGAGCCCTGGTCCTGGCCTGTGGCCAGCCGCCCTCAACCTGTGCAGTACCAGATTCCTTGTACCTCAATGCACAGGACCAGGTCGCTCAGAGTGCCTCAGGCTCTGCCCTTTGAGGGCGACAGGACTAAGGTGCAGCCAGGCAACCAGAGAGGCCAGAAACCACAGAGTCTGGATCTAGACGCGTTCAGGCTTCACAGATCCAGCCAAGTGCGTCCCAGAGAAGGGAGTCAAGTTTGCTCTTCACACAACTACCTTGGGATCTCTCCCATCTGAAGGTTATGGTTTAGATTGGAGGTTCCTTTTTGAAGTCTTCTAACTTACTTTCTTTCGACTCCTGCCCACCCACCTCTGCTATCTGGGGCAAGTTCAAAAGCATCCAAGCTAACGTTACAACATGAAGAAAGTGAACAACTCACTTTTCGGTGGGTAAGAGGCCCAGTGGTTGGAAAGCTCAGCCACAGCGCAGATGCTAAGAGCACGTTTGGGTAGAAGAGCCGTCAGCAGGCCACACCATCAGGTTCCAGGTTTGGTTTGTTGATCAAAAATGATGATTTTGAATCACTAAGAGAAAAGGAATTGTGTTGCAACCATCATCCCTGACCTCCAGGTCCTCCTGAGCCTCTGTCTGTAGCGCGGCAGGACCACCTCCCTGTGGGACCTTGAGCAATCCCTAAGTCCTACTCCCAGGTTCACTTTTCCCACCTGGGAAACAGGAACAATCAAGGCAGAAGGGGTCTACAGGTCTACAACACGATTCACCTGTCCACAGGAGTAACAGTACGCAAGCATCCGGGAACCCTTTCAGGCCTAATGGCTAGGGCAGCCCCTTAGCTTTCTCAGGAGATACTATCATCCACCTTCTCATCATTAGTTTCCCTTATCTGCACAGCTGTGTGGCTGATGCCTCAAGAATACCATGTGGGAGAAATCCACCAATTCCCAGTGCAGTCACCAAGCCTTAAAATTATTTTGGGAGAAAGGACAGAGGAGCCAGCAGGAAAGGAGATATGGACGGGCTGAGACGACAAGGCACCGTTTTGATGGCACAAGAGTACTTCAGCATTTCCCGAAGTCATAATTCCGTTCCCAGGCTGTTCGGCATGAAGGAAAGGTGGAATCATGGGAGCTTCTAGAAGCCGCTGGCTCTTGGCTGACTCGCACGCAGGCTGCAGACACAGCCAAGCTCCTGGCCAGCTAGATCACACGGGGACAGGTCAGGGACCAGTACAGGACCAAAGGGCTGCCCGGGCCCAGGCTGAGGACGCCTTCCTTTCTCTGGTGTCTGTTTAACCACACAGCCAGAGCTGTGATTTCTGGGGAGAAGGGAGAACTACATTCTCCCTCACGCCACATTTCAGAGAGAAACAAAAAGCAAAGGCAGGAAAAGGTGATCGTTTTCTATTCTGCTTCCTTTCTTGGGTAACTTTGCACAGACTGACTTCGTGGTAAACTTTAAATCTTCATTTCCTGCCAGGTGCCTTCTCTCAAGCCCTCACCCAGAACTAGATTCCTGAGTCGTCCTCAGACAGTGCAGATGGGCTCCTCTACCCCACAGCCTCACCAGCATGTGTGGTGTTCGGAATCCTTGAGTATAGCCGTCCTTACTAGAAAAAGATGAAATCTTCCTGCTGTTGTTTTTTCAAAAACTACTCATTTATTGATATTACTGATTTTATTTGTTCAACTATGGATCATGCTTTTCACTTCAGCAAGCTGGAACCTTCTGAGGATGGACAAAGTGGATGGTTTATTTTTGGTGCCCAGTAAAGGGCTATGTCTGTAATAGGCGCTCAAAAAGTTTTTCATGGCAAGTTTAAAGGTGAATGTGCAACTTTAAATCAAAGCCTAGAGATAAAACCCAAAGCTAAAGTTATGACAGATAATAGTTAAGGTATTTGGAGTGTGGGGATCATGAGTATTGGTTGTAAGTATTGTAAACTTTAGTAACTCCATATGTGTTAAGTTTCTCCAGTTTAGCAGGTTTCCTTTAGTGTGTTTCCTTTGTGGAATTCCTGAAAGTTACAGTTTCTTGTCTCTGACCTTTAGATGTGTGGTTGTCCGGGTTACTGCTACCCATGGTGGGTTGTTTTTGTTGAGCCTGTTTGCTCTTTTCCTGTGCGACCTTTCAGTTACTATGGTAACCCCATCCCATAATAGTTGGTGGGGTTTTTTTGCTTTAAAAGGCCGACGCTTGCCGGCAATAAACGTCGCCTTGATCAGACTCTTGTCTTGGTGTCCTTCCTTTCTCTCTGCCCCATCTCCACCCTGCTGCTCTTTCAGGTTTGAGGCACTGCTGGACAGTGCTCTGCGTCGCCGGCTCGCGACATTGGAGGACCTAACTGTATTGAGACTGTGATGCTTTCAAAGTTCTGTGGTTGACTCTTTTGGGTTAATTTTCTTTCTTTCTTTCTTTTTTTTTTGTACCAGTGATCGAACTCAGAACCTTGCACTTGGGAGGCAAGCGGCAGAACCACTGAGCTAAATCCCCAGCCCTAATATTTGTTTTAATAAAGATATATTTTGCTCCCAAAGCACTCTCCAGTTCCAAGTTCCAGGGACCCAGGGCTTTGTAAATGTACATCCAATCTAACAGCAGCAGATGTGATGTAGGGACTCCTATGCCTGCCTCCTTTGCTGCGTAAGATTGCAAAGTACTAATCCCAACACACAGAGAAATTAATTCTTTACCAATCTGATAAGACAAGTCTCAGATCCTCAGAGATCAAGAGTCCCCATCACTGAAATTTTATACTTATTTATTTTTTTGTTTATTTGTTTTTGTTTTTTGAGCCAGGGTCTCACTATGTAGTTGAGACTGACCTGGAACTCACTATGTAGCCCAGGTTGGTCTTCAACTCACAGCGATCCTCCTGCCTCAACCTCCCTAGTGCTGGGATTACAGGCGCGCCCCATCATGCTCAGCTTCTGAAATTTTTTAAAAGTGGCATCTGATCCCCTTGAATGTGTAAAACTATAAAAAAATAGAATGGGAAAAAAATAAATTGTAAAATATCACCGTGAGGGCCCAATGTTTGTTTGTTTGAATGCACATATATTTCAGGGCGTGGTGGTGCAGGCCTGGGCAACACAGTAAGACGTGACTCAAAACAAACGAGGAATGGGTATGGTGTTTACAGGCTTAAAACATTTTTTGCAGAGTTACATACAGAACTTTACTGGCCGACTCTGAAAGGGAGCTGGGGGGACAAATGCCCCCTTCCCTAAATGTTTTACACTTTAGATGCTCTTCTGTTGATTGTTTCAGTGTTTCCCTTATCCGCAGCGTTATCTTTATACAAAGGACCAAATAATCTGGTTTGGCTGAAACTGCTTCATCTGAGCTGTGCTTTGCAAGAAGAGCAGCACAGATTGTTTGCTTATTTGCTTGTTTGTTCTTTGAGACAGGGTCTCACCATGAAGGTCAGGCCGACCTTGAACCGCTCAGTTGCCCAGGCTGACTTCGAACTCATGATCCTCCCGCCTTGGCCTCCAAGTGCCAGGACTGCAGGCGTCTACCGCTACACCAGGCTGTTTTCCATATTATACTATTCATTGTCAGAGCCCAAAAACTTTAGAGAACTGGGTTCCCGGGTTCTCCTCCCATCACCAAATGCGTCCGACTGGGAAGCTGCTTCAGGACACTCCCTGTCCCTTGTTCCTGAGTCCTCTTCTCCACACACCTCACTCCACCAACAACCTCGTCGGGCACCACAGCTCCGAAGAGGCTGTCTAACCACAGCCACATGTCCATGCCCAGCTCCGGCCTCCGGAACTGCTGTGCACTGCACAGCTCCTCCTCCACAGCTCCCCTGGGACACGGAACAGACGTCTACAATTTAGCACACCCAAACGTGAACTCAGCCCCTACCACCTGCCTTATTCAAAGCCCTCCAAGTCTCATCAGCACAGCCAGGCGTCTATTCTCCCCAGCCTATAACCTCAGGTAAGTTTGACTGGAAAGCAAGGCACGTTCCTATAATCTCAGCACTCAAGAGGCTGAGGCAGGAGGATTGCTGCAAATGTGAGGCCAGCTTGGGCTACACAGAGTGAGCCCAAGGCCAGTCTAAACTACCTAGCTAGACTGCATCTCAAAAAAAAAAAAACAGAATTTGGAAAGTAGAGTGTAATTTACCTAAAATCAAAGTCCTGGGTAGTGGAATCAAAGATATCATAAAATCATTACAATGTTTTCTGAAATCTGCTTTTTTGTCATTGTCGTTGTTGTTTTGAGACAGGGTCTCACCATGTAGTTGAGACTGACCTGGAACTCACTGTGTAGCCCAGGCTGGTCTCGAACTCACCGCGATCCTCCTGCCTCAGCCTCCCAAGTGCTGGGATTACAGGTGTGCGCCACCACACCTGGCTGAAATATGCTTAAAGTGAACTCGTTTTAAATCTAGGATTTGGATTTTGACCTTTTAATTTCTTTCACATATGTGTCCCTTCTTGCAAGCAAGGAAACAAAATCAACCTAAGGCAATCTAGTCCTCCAGAGTGAGGCCAAGACTTGCAATCTTTATCAGAAGGACACTGGAGTCCCAGGTGTCGGCATTAAGGTTATAAACTCTGAACAACTTCTCCACACTTTTCAATAGCAAACAGTCAAAAGTCCAGTCCTTCAAGGCATGGCACACAGAGCGCCTTGATCCACAAAGGACAAAATGACCCAAATAATTTGCTGACAACCCTACTGAGAAACTGGAGAAAATGTTTGAATTTCTTTTTTTCTTTTCTTTTCTTTTTTTTTTTTTTTTTTTTTTTTTTTTTTTTTTTTTTTTTTTTTTTTGGTACCAGGGTTCGAACCTGGGACCTTACACCTGTCTAAAATGTTTGAATTTCAAAAACTCACTCTACAGTGGAGAAAATTCCTGGTTGCTGTCAATAACAAAGCTAGTGAAAGTACAGAAGGACCCACACCGACATCTGATTTTACCCAGGTCTCCTGCAGAACATGAAGGTGCAGAGAGAGAGGTGCAGGAAAGAGTAAGGTGCTTAGATATTTAAAAATAAATTACTTGGTAAGGAAATTAGACACAGTGCACACTTCCATTTGCTATAAGACAAATTGGCAATGAGGACTATTTCAGAGGAACCCTCAACTTTATTATTTTTTAAAATTTTATTTTATTTTTTGGTTTTTTGAGACAGGGTCTCACTAGGTAGTTGAGACTGACCTGGAACTCACTATGTAGCCCAGGCTGATCTCGAACTCACAGCGATCCTCCTGCCTCAGCCTCCTGAGTGCTGGGATTACAGGCGTGCGCCACCACACTCGGCAGAGCCCTCAACTTTAAAGAGGGCAGTGGTAGTACTGCTTTTCCATTACAGAATACTTCCTACTTTTCAAGATAATTAACAGTGCTGTTCTCCCACGGTTCCTACTCATGTGGAAGACTTGTTGCGCTTTTGCCAGGGTCAGGGAATGAAAACAAAGCATATTCTAATCAGCTCATTTAAACTCAGTGGACATGTTTTGGGATGGACTCATCAAGTCCGGCCGCTGATTCCTTACGCACCTACTAACTGCAAGATTCCTCAGCCCTCAGCCATGGTTTC